CCCCCCCCCCCCCCCCCCCCCCCCCGGGCCCGTGTTCAACTGGCTTGCATCAATGCTTGACCTTCTTCTGACGTCACAAGCACACGGAACCTCCCCCCCCACCCGATCAGGCAAGACGACATTGCTGAAGCTTCTGACGGGAGCGTTGGAGCCCACGGAGGGCTTCATCCGAAGAAACCCCCGCATGCGCGCGGGCATCTACAACCAGCACTTCGTCGACCGACTCCCGATGGACATCGACCCCACCAGCTACCTCCGATCCAAGGTGTGGGAGAGATGGGTTGGGTTCGGTGCAGGTAATGTGGCGGCACGGGTCGGTGGTGTGCGCGTTGATCGTTCTCTGTTTGACTTGGCCGTGTCCCGTGGTGTTGTACCGCTTGTGTGTGTGTGTGTGTTCCTTTGATTTGGTAGGGTCGGTCGCGCTAAGCGGCTTACCCCACGAAAGAGACAGACGTCAGTCTTGCGGAATTATCGCTGGAAACGGAGACCGCTGGGCAAAACAGGTCGACAACATGTCACCGCCGAAAACGGACGAAAAAAAAAAAAAAAGGNGTTATAGTGATGAGAGGTCAACAGTCTTCACGACTACGGCATGCTTTTCACTTGAGTACACCCCTCGTTGTCTTGGCTTGCTTTCAGTTCTCGGACCAATGCGACTACCAGCAGGCGAGGAACCTTCTCGGAAGGTTCGGCCTCGAGGGACACGCTCACACCATCAAGATGCGCGACCTGTCGGGGGGTCAGAAGGCCCGCGTCGTCTTCTGCGAGTTGTCCCTGCAGGCGCCGCACGTGAGGGAGAGCGTGCATTAAGGGGCGCCGCACCGTTACTCGAGAGCGCGTACGCGTAGGCACTGGGTGGTACCCAGATGCATTTCTTGCTGTACGCCGGTCTTGAGCATGTGACGCAGGTCGTCGTCGTTGTTGTCGGTTCGCTGTCGCCGCTGTCTCCTGTTGTCGCTGTCGTAGTTTCTTCATGTCACGTTGATCCCCTCCCCCCCCTATTCACTCTACGCAAACGCTGTCGTCTCGGCCTCCAGGTGCTGTTCCTCGACGAGCCGACGAACAACTTGGACATTGAATCCATCGACGCTCTCTGCACGGCCGTGACGGAGGTGGGGTGTTTTGTTTCGCGGTGTCGTTTGGCGTCGGGGGCCGGGCGTGCGAGGACGGGGGAGGTTTCTCTTGTGTTTTGTAAGCGTTCTGTGTCAGGCCATAGGTCGTGCGTGCTCGAGAGGACGGAGCATTGTTCCCACAGAACCGACCGCAGGTTTCTCATCGGTCCTTCCTCGGAGGTGGCCCCAAGCGGGGGGCCTTAGGCGTGCTGACGTTGCTACTACAACATCATCTGCACCCCCACCGTGTAGTGCGTGCGTTGTGGCGTTATCGCATCAGGGAGGAGAGCGAAAAACAAACAACGACAGGCAGTGGTGGAAAAAGTATCGATTCTACAGCACCTTTTCGCCACCCGAAACAAGGCATTAGCTTGGTCGTTGGCTCCGTCCAGCCCCACGTCGGGAACGACCGCTGTCGCCTTTCTTTGCCCCTGTGTCCTTTCCCACCACGGGGTGTTTCCGAACGTCGCCACTCCCCGGGGGGGGGGGGGGGGGGGGGGGGGGGGGGGGGGGGGGGGGGGGGGGGGGGGGGGGGGGGGGGGGGGGGGGGGGGGGGGGGGGGGGGGGGCGTACTCTTATGTTTTGCATGTCTTAGCGGTTAGACCATTGACCACGCGTCCTCGAGAGGACGGAGCATTGTTCCCACAGGACCGATCACCGATGGCCAATCGTTCCTTTCTACTTTGCCAAAGGTGGCTCAAAAATGTCTTCCCTAGTCTGTCTATCCTAGCGATATCCCTTCCCGCCTTTTCAACCCACCTCCTATGCCCCACTACAGCTACCGTCCTTTCCTCTCTATTCCATGCCTCAAACATCTCCCTGTACGTTCCATCTATTTTTCCCAGCTCAGTCACGTACACTTCCCTCTCCTTCTTGTACAACGGACATTCCGCGACTACATGAACACGGTCTTCGCATTCGAAGCCGCAATCACATTTGACCTCTTCGTCTTCCTCGTCTACCGTCTTATGTCTTCGTCGACGTTCTCGAAGGCTTATGTCTCCGGTCCTGAATTTGACCTTAAGCTTTGTTCCTGCACCCATTGGTCCATGTAGGTAATCCTTGAACCCTATTCCTTCCTCAACATTTCGTACACTTCTAGACCCTCCTTATCCTTGGATTCTTT